ACACCTTGCTAACCAAGCTAGCTAGCTCCGCCCTCTCGTCCAAATATGGTCACGTCTGTTTCCAAAAATTTAAGATGGCAGCGGTCAAAACATCTTTAGTTTCTTTAGTTCAAAGATGAATCACTTGGTGCATCGCCGGGACCTAAAGGTCTAAAGCCAAACGTACATTTCTGGATCCTTCCAACCCGTTCTCACTCCCAAGTCTTCACATATGTGCGCATGGTCAACACCCGCTGGTGTCAGTTTGTAACGCACGGGGGGAAACCCTGTAGCGTAAATTTTTAACGCTGAAGGTAGGTGTAGGATGTTTAAGAGAAAAGTCAGAGTAAGGAGGAGGCCAGTTGGCCAGAAACTGCACTTTCACTCAGGAGACTGGTGTTTTATTTATTTATGGTGTTTTGTGTGAAACAAAAAGGTAACACTGAATGTTTTGAAGTGGTTTTGGTACTCAAACCTAATCAAATTCAAAACGTTAACACCTAGTTTAATTTTAAAACTTTAACCAGACGTTGCATATGTGGTGATCTGTAGCTAAGTTGAAAGGATGTTGCATAGTTTTTGTCGCCAACTTGACCACGGAGCCGTACGCGTAGAAAGAAACGGCGCTAAAAGGGTAACAAGGATGTTAAAAAGCGATGGGAAGTTGTCCATCCACCTGCCAGGGTCCAAACCTGTCTGGGCTACAGAACCACAGTGGTTTATGGAGACACTTTGAGGGTCTGATCACTAGTTTCAGTCCTACTGGTCTTTCAGGTGAAGCAGAACATGTTGTACGTAGAGTTCCTACATTACGCTGAAAGACTCGTGTTGATGGACTTTTTAATTTATTTGTTTCTGACCCTCTTCCTCTCCTATTTTCTGATATCTTGAGTTTGTATTTTGTCTCACAGACACACGAGAGATTAGCTGAACGCCGGCGTCCCGCCCACCGTTTATGTGAGAGAATGAGCTGTCGTGTGATTGGTTGCAACTCGTCCTCATGGATTATTATGATGAGTTTGGAAAGGGTGTAAAGACTTCACGGAACAGTTATTTATCGATTAATATGAATCTACACTGGCTTCCCATTTCTCACCGGATCACATACAAAATCCTGGTCCTTACCTACAAAGCCATTCACCACCTGGCCCCTTCATACCTCACTGTCCTCTCCCCCTACCAACCCTCACGGTCCCTCAGATCCACCTCAGCCGGTCTCCTCTACGTCCCCAAGTCCAAGCTCCGCAGTTTTGGGGACAGAGCCTTTTTCCAGGGCAGCTCCCAGGTTCTGGAACTCCCTTCCCCATGAAATCCACACCTCCGAGTCCCTCACCATTTTCCAGTCCCGCCATATGTTTCTTTTTCTGCTCTGTCTAAAGTGACTTTGAGTTCGTGAAAAGTGCTATACAAATTCAATTTATTATTATTATTATTATTATTATGCTTTTGTAAATGATGATTTGATGTGAGTAAAACCTGAATAAAAACTTGCTCCGTTGTTTTACTTCATACATTTCTGTCTGTGTTCCTGATTGATCATGAGCCTGCTGTGATCTGACATCTTTCCTGATAAAAAGGAATTTTCTAACCTCCACATGATTATATAAGCCATCAGAAGTCTTGGCTGCAACTATTCACAGTCCAGGTTCTTCTGAAAAAGAAAATGTGCAATACATCTATAACTTAAGCTGATGAGAGGCGGAATCGTGGAAGAGTCCACAGCTGGTTGTTGTTGTTGTGCGTCTGCAGTTTCTTCAGCTTGTGACCAGACGTTGGCCAGTGTGTCGTCAAACGTCTCATCTTTCTCGACTCTTAAGTCGACGTTCAGACTGTGACCCAGATCTGACGTGTTCATGAATCCAGGTCACCCAGAGTCCACCAACCTAAATGACAATATAGGTCATCGATCCATGTCTGCCAAACTGACACACATGAGCGTTTCCCGTCAGCACCTTAACGCCTTGATGCCGATTGCTGCGAATTCGCATCACACCGCTTCCATTCAGACTCTGGCCCAGGTGACGTTTCTATTCCCGCAATGCCTGTTTGTGCATATTTGATATGCACCTAGGAACCTTTCGCAAGCTGTCGTTATCCCTGTTGTCGTTAATTGTCATCACAGTGGAATTTAATCTCGTCTATGTTCTATAGACATTAATATCATCTCCACTTAATTTAGCCTCAGCTTGAAAGCAAATGACAACAGAAATATTACTTTTTTTAATTGTAAATAAATTCAGGCATCAAGGGGTTAACTATGTTACATAAGTCACATGACAGTAATCACATGGTTAATCTTGTGAAACGGTCACTGTTTGGTCAGATTTAGGCCTTTTTCGGACTTTCTGTCTCTTTATAATACGTCACCAGACTTCCTCCTTTGCTCCCGTCACACAGGTCGATTCTGACGTCAGAGCGGTGGTTCCCCACTTTTTGGTGTAAGCTACCCCCACAGTCCTGTCAAGTGAACTTACGTTCCCCTTCATCAATCACACCTATCATGTACACTATTTATTATATAAAAGTGGATGTTGTTTGTTTTTTTCATACAATTTAAGTGTCAGTGTTAAGGTTGGTTTGGTCAGCTACCAAATGAAGTTGATGTTCCAACCATTTAACTTTCGGCCAATCATTTTTAGTGCTGCAACAAATTAATCTTTTTATTGTCGATTTTTTTTTTTTTTAAGTCCACAATGACATCTTCAAATGTCACAGCCCAAAGTTTACTGTCATAGAGGAGTAAAGAAACCCCAAAACTAGTTACATTTGTTAAAAATTTCACAAACCAATCATCAAAATAGTGGGCGATTACTTGACTAATCTATTCATCGATTGTTAGCAATTTAGTTAAAGCTTTTACACTGAAAAAAGATCTAAGACTTTCTTTAGCTACACAAAAGGCCTGTTTCTCTCAAATATTGTTCACAAATCTGTCAAAAATCTGTGTTATGAGCACTTTGCCGAGACAATCCATCCAGCTCACAGGTGTGACGTATCAAGATGCTGATCAGACAACAAAAAGTCAACATTTAAACAGTAAATATTGCCAAAATATGGACATTTGCCTGGAATATTTGGAAAATATTGAATGGTAACTGTTGTATATTAGTTTATTTTCATCAAATTTACAGTTACAATCTCATTCCATTCCTGGTCGATTCCAACAGGTTTGAATCAGTAGATTTATATCAGCCCACAAAGTGTCTCCACCTGCAGCAGCTGCAGAGCAACAGGTCGCTGCCTGGTGAGGCGTGTTGCGTCACCTGCTGAAGGCGAGTCCGGCTCCTGAGGCTCTGTGGCTGCTGAACGCTGCACTCTGCTCACCAGCTGCTCTCTGATGAGTCTGGCTGCTGTTTGACGCTGAGCAGCTATAGATAGATACGGCAGCTTTTATTCTGAAAACAGCTTCCTGCTGCTGCTGGGTGCCCTGAAAACTCACAATGTGTTATAGATGTGGACACGGCCGCTGAGAGACTGAGCCGTCGGTGATGATGCAAACTGATGATCAGCAAGAAGGAGGTCTCTGCTGAAGTGAACTGGTCTCTGTTCAGGTCTCAGTCTCTGCTGGAGCATCAAGTTTCTGCCGTTACGTTTTCCTTTCCGCTCTGAATTTTTCAGAACGCAGACACTGAGCGGTGGTTTGTCTTTCTTCTGCAGGAGGTCACTGGGCCACTGAGAGCAGAGGGCCACAGAGAGCAGAGGGCCACTGAGCCACAGGCTGAGAGCAGAGGGCCACAGGCTGAGAGCAGAGGGCCACAGGGCCACTGAGAGCAGAGGGCCACAGAGAGCAGAGGGCCACTGAGCCACAGGCTGAGAGCAGAGGGCCACAGGCTGAGAGCAGAGGGCCACAGGGCCACAGAGAGCAGAGGGCCACTGAGAGCAGAGGGCCACAGGCTGAGAGCAGAGGGCCACTGAGCCACAGGCTGAGAGCAGAGGGCCACAGGGCCACTGAGAGCAGAGGGCCACTGAGAGCAGAGGGCCACAGGGCCACTGAGAGCAGAGGGCCACTGGGCCACTGAGAGCAGAGGGCCACAGGCTGAGAGCAGAGGGCCACTGAGAGCAGAGGGCCACTGAGAGCAGAGGGCCACAGGCTGAGAGCAGAGGGCCACAGGCTGAGAGCAGAGGGCCACTGAGCCACAGGCTGAGAGCAGAGGGCCACAGGCTGAGAGCAGAGGGCCACAGGGCCACTGTGCTACAGAAATAAACTTTGTTCTGAATGAAACCGACGTCTCCTTCCATGATTGATTCTCTCACTGCATCCGTTTATTAAACCAAACATTTAAACAGGTGATTTTCTGCACATTGACTAACTGTTCTAGGATCAGCTGACTCCGTGTTCCTGTTTCACAGCGTCAACACTTTGTTCTTCACTTCCTCCGGCTCTGAACGTTTCCTCGCAGCATCAGCAGATGGAAACAGGCCGAACCGGTTCCCTGACTGAACGTCAGAATACCAGCTGACCGGTTTCTCAAAACATCCCACAGATCAATATATCTGTCGCTCCGTGATCACATGTTCCCTCCGTCTGTTACTGACTTTATTAAAGTGTTCCAGCTGATTATTGATCCTGAGCCGTCTCCATGACAACAGAACAAACTCCATCAAACACTAGATGCTGGTTGAAAGCTCCAGAAAAAGCCAGTAAGTGGAGCTTAGGTTAATATTTAAGAGGGAGTTTATTTATTTGTTGTGCTTCATGTTTCATCTCTGCAGGATCAATAATGTGTCCTGCAGTTTAACAGCTTTAACATTATATTTCATGATCAATTAATCTGATTGGATTATTGTCTTAAGAAGTTAATAAAATATAATAAGTTAGGCTCCAGTGAGAAGATCTGGAATGTTTTAGTCACAATAATGTGAAGAAACTCTTGAGAGCTGCTGCTGCTGATCGGCCTGACTTCACCCAGACTGCTGGAGACTAGTTTAAAACCTCGTATCTCCAGAATGCCACCTGGAGTGAATGGAGTCGTCCTTTACCCTGAATCCTCGTATGTCCCTGCTGGATGTGGAGGACTCACCTTGAGCTTCTGGACGCTCCGGCTCTCCTCCTCGCGGCACCACACCGTCACCCCGCCCTTGTTGTAGCGGCTGATCCAGCCCTCGGAGCTCAGACACTGGTCTTTGAACGAGGAGAAGTCCGAGTCGTCCGGGATCTGCACCGGCATCTCAAACGGTTCAAAAAAACTAAACCAGAAAACAAGTGGAAATTAAAAAAAAGAGCAGGTCCGGAGTTCACATCGGTCTGAGCTCCTCGCGCTACCTGGGTCTTCCGGTCCACCTGGGTCTGCCGGTCCACCTGGGTCTGCTGGTGGAGCTCAACTGCAGTCCGACACGGAGAAGACAGGAGAGCAGCAGAGGGATGCCAGCAGCGGGTTTTATTGGCTCACTGCTTCCTCCTGCCTCCCTGGTCTCTGCAGAGATGGGACACAAACTAAGAGCTCTCACTCTGCCGCAGCTTTCAGCGCTCAAACAAACAAACCGAGCTTTTTCTCCTTGAAAAGTAGCAAAGTGCAACCTCTCATCGCTTTAATGGGTTTCTAATGTGGCAGAAAATACAGCCTACATCAGAGACGGGACAGAAACTAACACACCTCACTCTGCCGCAACTTTCTTTACTCAAATGAAGAAGCAATGTGCAACCTCTCTGTTTGCTTTCAGCGGTATTTACAGCACAAACAGCCAACATCAGAGATGCAACGACGAAGATGAGTCCTGCACTTATTTCCATCGTTGTTGCCGTCAAACACTTTCAACAACTGACTGAAGAAATATGAGAAACTTTTGGAAAATGTAATAGTTAGATTTTCACGTTATTGTTTGTAATTTTACACGTTTTTTAAAAAATATTATGTTCAGTGTTCATTTAATATCACAGTTAACGTGAACTACAGATGCACCTTGCTAACAAGCTAGATAGCGCCACCCTCACGTCCAGATATGGTCACGTCTGGTTGCAAATAAACAAGATGGCGACGGCCAAAATGTCAAACCAGAGGCTTCAAAATGGCGGCCCAGAACCCAACAGGGGAGTACACTGCGGCTACGTCTGTTTCTTTTATATTACATTTACATTTAGCTGACGCTTTTTTCCAAAGCGACTTACAATTGCTATACATGTCAGAGGTCGCACGCCTCTTTAGCAACTAGCCTAACCTGTCTCAGATTTGAGTTTTTCTCGGTCGTTTTGAGTTGTTCCAAAGCAAACAAAAGAACTAAACATGAGAAAACCAAAGCATTTGTAATAGTGAAACTTTTCTGTGACAGACGTGTATGCATGTGTTAAGATGTTAACAGAGTGATTCATCTTCTCGATAGACCATCTGTGGTAACAGGTTGTTTCTGAAGAACGCTGCCTTCATGTGCTTCTGTAATTTGTTCGTGATCAACTGTCACATTTCCTTTCTAATAAATTGATCACCACGTGAGTGACTGAGTTCTTCTATGATGGAAAACATCTGAAGCAGTTCTGATTGAAAGCTCTAGGTTGTGACTCCATAGCTGAGCGTTGGGATTCCAGACAGCCCCTGAACGCAGCAGGAACTGATACCTGTTATTCAGGTAAGGCAGTGGGTTGAGTCAGACTGACGGTCAACAGATCAGGTATCAGCAGCTTTTAGTTTCCATCACTGTAACTCTGTAATGGAGAAGAAGAAGAAGAAGAAGAAGAAGAAGAAGAAGAAGAAGAAAGGAAGCTTCCAGAAACAAACTGGGGGAGACGTTCAAACTAAAACAGGTTCAGTGAAACCTTCATGATCGCGCTCGCATGAGACTTCAGTTTAACTCCTTACATCTTATCTTAAGTAGCATTAACGGTAAATTCAGCTCCCAATTATAGACGTGACGTCCCCCGTTGGTTTGTGGACTACCGTTCTGAAGCCTCCAGTTTGGCTTTTTGGTTAGCTTGGTTAGCAAGGTGCAACTGTAATTCACATTAAGTGTGATATTAGCATACATACATGCAGGCACGACTGAAGTAAAGTCTTAAAATGTGCATGTGTCTTCTTTTCACCTCAATGATAAATCGATTCATTTGAATTCAGCTACAAACTCCTGGACTTTAATAGCTCCTGTGTTTCAGCAGGTTTTCTGCTCATGTTCAAAAATGTCTGCACATTAACAATCTCTCCCACATATCTGTGTTCTCTGACATCTGCAGAATAATATTTTGAGACAAAAGTCATAATCTTACGAGAATAAAATCGCAACCTAATGAGAATGAAGTCATATATATATATTTTTAAATATGCTGGGCAGTAGGTTACCCTGTGTTATTGCTCTGCTGATATGGTAGTAGACTTCCCGCTCTCTGACAGACACAGAGCTCGATGAGACGAGCGCACTGCTCTTCATCAGAGGTGGAAAACATTGTGATCAGACAGAAATCGCACTGCACATCCACACAAGTGTGAACTTCAGCTCCTCTGATAAAGTGCAGCTCACAGCAGCTTCCGAGGGAAACATCCTGCAGACAGAGCAGAGTGTCTCTGAGCGAGGAGGACACAGCAGAGCGACAGGTGTCTGTGTCGCGGTCAGCTGTGTCATATTGTCCTCTCGCCACTTTCGACTGTTGACAGTTTGTGTAGCAAATAAACTGACGAGATGCTGACTGACAACACATATTTAATATAGACAATTCAGTCGTCGCTGCTCTGAAGCTGTAACCAATGCGTAACGGCGGGGGGGGGGGGTCATATTACGTGAAGTTTAAACAAAATGTAGCGATATTATTGCGAGTAGCCTCCGTTCTTTGAAGACCAGGCTGCGTCATGAAGATTATTTCATATTAATACAGAAAATATTATTGATGTTGTTGAGTTATATTCAAAACATCCAAAAATTACCTGGCGACGCCGATGGGCTACATGTTTTTACAAATAAACACAGGTCTCAATTAGAAGCCTGGTCTGGTTTTTATAAAAGTTCTATAGATGTGTAAAACCTCTTAAAGGTCGCCTGCTTAAGCTAAGCTGCTTAGAACGTACATACCAATATAAATGTTTTATCGGTATGGACATGCTACACATCGTTAGATCAGTCAGATTCTCCACAATTCAATCTTTCAGTTAATTTTACAGAAGTAAGTATAATTCATTCAGATTTACCAGCATGGTAAACAAGAGAGACGGAAAGGAAGTGGTGACTCCCGACCGTAGAAGCAGTCATAAAATCCGAATATGTGCCGTTCCTCTGTTATTTACATCCCTTTAGTCCGAAACGTTCCACTGATCAAAAGAACGTTTTTCATAAAAACGTTGTGATTCTTTCTACGGCCGACTCCATCTCTCACTCTCTCTTTACTTTTTATCCAAGTAATATTCATCCTGGTTTAAATAAAAAGGTTGATTTCCCGTCTTTTCTGAGTGAGAGACATGTCCCAAATACAGGCAGGGTCAGTTCAGTGATCAAAGTTTTACTGTGTTTTATGCTGGATATCATGTTGTTGCAGTGAAATATTCAAACCCAAGTCTCCGTGTTTCTTTATATAAGCATGTCTGCTGCCAGCCCGGTAAACATACGCTCAGTGTCCAGTTTATTAGGTACAGCTAGCTAAAGCCCCCTCAGCTCCTCGTGTCCAGGCCTCAGAATACTGCGTGAAATAAGTTTGTGTTAAAAGTGGATGAACTATTCAATTCTTTCTTCTCTGTCGGGGCCCGTTTAGAGTGAAAAACAAGGCTAAGAGATGCTCTGCAGCCAGTTAGTCTGCTATCTTGGATATTTTAAAACCGGCTTTTCTGGTTTTGTGTTTGTTAGATGTCCTCTGTCTCCCTCGCTCTCTCCTCCTCCTCCAGTAGTGCTGTAACTATAAAGTTAATGTAAACCTGGTGAAGGTCCAAACTGGGGCTCTTTATATTTAGCAGGTGTGTCTTTAGTAAGATCTTCACCTAGAAAAAGAAAGAACTGCTGCACACACATCAAACACCTGAGCAACAGAATATAACCCTGACTTCTGCCTGTCAGGTAGGGCTGCACGGTTATGGCCAAAATAAAATAATCACAATTATTTTGATATATCTTGAGATCACGATTTTTCATTGATTTTAGGGACAACATATTTTTATTGCACTTTCAAATTTAAATAAACAGGCAGATGTTTTTACATCCGTGTTGTTAGCGTTTTGTGCTTCTCCTATGATTAAGTAGGCTATGTAGATAAATGGTTCCTTTATTGTTGATTTTATGATCGGGAGTCTGCACAGGCTGTTTAATTTTGAAAATCGACCGGATTCGCTCTGTGCAGAAGAATAAAAAATAGACTTTTTTATTCTTCGCGGAGCCGAGAGCTGCCTCTGATGGACTCCCAAGCATTGACTATAAGCACCATGACCAGCTTCGGCAGCCGCGGCGCAGCGGACACGTGCAGACTCGTGGACTTAGCTGTCTGCTCTGGACTGCAGCAGCAGGAGGGTGTGCGAGCAGCCAAATCGCCCCCTTGGCTGTGAGTTTAGGAAGCGCTCGATTTGAAATGCAGCAGTTTTCCATGAGCGGAGCACGCGTTTTAAACGGTGATATCGCCGTTGATCATGTTCATTTCATTTTGGTAAGCTAAAACCGTAACTGCGATTAATATTCGATTAACTGAGCAGCTGTCAGGCAGAACTTCCCGTCACCTGATTAGTTTGGGTCTGAACAGAAAACATATCTGTGATGAAATACAGAAAACTCAAGGTCTGCTTTTTCTTTAACCCATGGCCTTCTTCAGCCAGTGGAACCTGCTCAGTGTGCATCATGTGACCTGATGTAAATAAAGGACGGCACTGTGACCCACACCCCGTTCATGAGTACTTTAAGGACCTCCGGTCTGTGTCGGTAAGCTGGAGAGTGAATGAGCGTCTGGTGGAAGTGAGTTAATATGTCAGACTCATGTTTTCTGTTTTTCTGTCACCAGCAGGGGGAGCTCTGCGCTGACCACGTCGCTGTGTGTGTGTGTGTGTTTCATGTTGTTATATCTCTGTGGGGACTTTGACCTCAACCTTACCTGACGGGGACTCTTGTCACGATGGGGACCCCACGAGTAGAGATGCTGTTTGAGGGTAAACACTTGGTTTTAGGGATTCAGTGGTGGACAGTAAGTATATTTACTCAATACTGTACTTAAATCCAAATTAGAGGTACTTTCCTTGACTTCTCCTCTACCTCAGAGGGAGATGTTGGACTTTTTACTTCACCACATTTATCTGACAGGTTCAGTTACTTTACAAAGTCAGATTTTTACACACAAACACATGAAGAGTTTATAAAACAGTTTATACAGGTAGAGCTGGCAGGATTGTTAAACTGACAGTTTTAATCGTTTAAGTAATTTTTTCTTGTAATAATTTTAATTTCTTTATAATAACGTTGATATTT